CACATCTTGCTATTACAAAACATCTATGGGGCACTGAAAAGTTAGGTGGCACTTTACAGATGTTTTTGGAAAAGCCATATCTGAGATGTGGCTTTTGCTCCATAGCCCTTAGAAATCCAGTTCTGCCTCTCTTCTCCTGCTTAAAAATTATATTGGCTCTGCCATTTGACTCTAGGAGTTCAGCAAGTGCTGCACCCTGCACATTTCCTCTATGTCTATGTGTACAGTGCTGGAAAGCTGCATTATTTTGGGGTACAAGAGTGCCTTGGGGGCACACTTTCTTTGTTAAATCCTTCAGGCAGAGACAGAGTACATCAGACACACAATCCTACATTTTACACCATGCCAGAAGCCTGTGGCCCTTCCTCATGCACCAATTCACTTAAAGAACCCACAAAGAAAGCCCCTGTCTCTCTCTGATGTCTTCTGCAGTCATTCCCAGTCCTGCTCTACTGTAAGTCCTGGAAGAAGAATGCTCCCTTGCTCAGCTTGTCTCCCATCCCTCTGTAGCTGCCCTTGGGCAGATGAGCCCTCTATAGTTTGATCCACTTTGGCAGCTGGATTTAAACAAAAATATGCGCTAAGTCTAATACAGTCTGACTTCACTCCTCTTGAACCCCACAGACTTTTTGCAAATAAGTCTCTTGCTTTATCAGCTACATAATTTGTATTTAATATAATTAAGATGATAAACTGATGAATCTTCTCACTGAGGGCAGATTACAGCTGGGTGCATGAAAAGGGTAGTCAGCAGGAAGAATGCACAGAGACCAACAAGCAAGGGAGTTAGGCACCACAGAACCCTTGATATGCACTATATAGGGGATATTAAGAAGTGAGTAGGAGGCAATGAACAATAAGCAACCTGGGTCACTATGTCTTTTAATCATGTCTCCCTTTCTGTCTGCATTAGCTGATTTCTGTGGGATGACTTGGTAGGCATTTAAGGAAATGAACTACACTGTTTTGTCATGTGTAGCACAATAATTGACACCATCAAATGACCTCAGCATCAAGCTGGGATCACCCAGTTAAAATGGTAGGAGAGATAAAATAGCGTTAATTAGAGGGAAAATATGGAATTCTTTCTGTCTGGGATGTGTCTCTTCTCTTAGCTGACAAAAACCTTAACAGTTTGGCCAAGTCGAAAGGGAAGCTGAAGGGAAAAAGGGAGCATTCTCCATTGTGTGCCAACCCAGCTGAGAGAAGACTTGAGTTTGAGACTGACTTTTAAAGAACAGCAAAAGGTTAATGAATTTTTATCCCAGCAACCAATAGTACATCTGAAGGTCCCTCTAACTAGACAGCAGATTTGTTCTTTTTTCACTATAAGAACAGGTCAGTAATATATATAAGACAGAAAGAATCAGAGATAAAAAAGATTTTTTCAGCTTCCAGAAATCGAAACAATCTTCTGCTACAGTAGTCTTCCTACTGGCCATGCAGCTACCTGTACGTATTCCATGTTAGAACTTTCTCCACAATGATGTTTTTTCTCCTATTTTATTGACGTTTAATTCCGTGAGGTACAATGAACTGTCATCTCCCACTGAGCTTGTGAAAGAGGTTGACATACAAAGCTGCTGAAGGTAGGTCCCTTGTACTGCTTGGATATTGCCCTCCTGCATCCTCTATTCTCCGATACATTGGGAAAGGGCCAGGAGAAATACCAGAGTCTCAGTTCTGACTCCATTCTGTACTCTGTGATCTGAATCCATCCCAGCTTTTATGATAGAACTACAGAATATGAAATATGATATTGTAAACAAAGTGTAGTCAATTAGTCAAACTTTAATAGAGCTTAAATGCTGTATTTTGGCACATAAAATATGTTTGCAAATACTCTTTCTTAAAAAATTGCCTTTTCTTTTGTACGTATATTCGCCTTTTTTCTATTCTAAACAGTTAATGAAATTCCAGACTATTAAACAAAAAACTATGAACATTTTGGACAGTAAACTCTTTTTCCATTATATGTCTATACAATGCCTAAAACAGACTAGTCCTGATTTTTGAACAGAACCATCTAGGAATTTCTGTTATTTAGAAAAATAATATTTTTATTTATTTCATTAACTTAAAAAAAAAAATGTTCTTTAATTTACCTGATTCCCTTGTGAAAAAGAGGAATAAAATTGGCAATAGATTTCTGTAAAATACCAGTATGGTAAAAGCGTTCTATTAAGGAAATCACCTTCAAGTGAGCTAGAATTACAGATTAATAAATTACACAATGTCCACCTTGGAGTACTTGGAAGTTCAGATGTTTCTTTGAGTCTTATTTAAGTCTCTTGACTCTAAGCAACTACATAATTTCAAATAGTAGCTGCACTATGTCTTCGAGAGGAAGATGCCAAAATGGACTGAAAAAATGTACACTTTCCAATAAAAACATTCTTTTTGGTCAACATTATTTGCTAAATTCAACCAAAACATATTAATCATTTTGCTCAACCCACAATTGCATTTTTTGGTTAATATATTAATTATCCCTCCAATTTCTCTCAGCTTCTCTTACATGCCCTGCCTCTCTCCTTTAATGGATAATGGCATATCTTTCTCCCATATTGAAAAATATAACCTCTCTTAAAATTATGCTTCTATGAAAAACCTCACTTGAAGATGCTGTGACACTTGATAGACTTGAAAACTCTGCCCAGGAAAGACAGGATGTAACAGCTGCATGATCCCTGAAGATGCTTTAAAGGGCATCCAATAGATACTCCATTGCTCTTACAACAGAGATGTAAGGTTACAGCTAGAGGGAACAATGAACCGTATGTAGGAGAAATTGAGGGCCAGTCAAATCAAAGGGAGTGAAGAGGAAAAAAAAAAAAAATCAAAGGAGGAAACTTGAGCTGATCACTCTTTTCTTTTGTTTCCTATAGAACTTAGAGAAAGGAATATGTGCATACTGAATTTCCCAACCCAAGCCTTTTTCCAGGCTTTACCTATATGCAAGAGGAGCCGAGAAGGCATTAATGTCACTCCACCAAAATGCTCACTTTGGCACTAAGAAGATGTAAATCTTAGGGAGCAGACTTGACTAACAGCTGCTTGTGAAAGCTACGGAAGAAGCTTCACTGGTCAGTTTAAGTGCAGCATCCTTTATGCACAGATTTAAATGGGAAGTTACTTCAACCTCGGGGAAGCAGAATCTAGCCCAAAAATCTCACAGTGTGATACATCAGATAAATATTATTAATTATAGTTAAATTAAATGAAAAACATATTTTGTACCATTTTATGATGAAGAGTATTTCCTAAAACGTCAATAAAGGTTAAAAAGAAATGGCCTGGTTGGTTTGTTAAACCCTGTGAGTTAAGTTTCCAGTTGCTGCTTATTTTAAGAAAGTAAGAAAGAATCTGCAGCATAATAAAAATATAGATTCTGTTTCTTATATTTTCTTCTCATAAAAAAGGGGAAAAGAAACAAAATGTGAAAGAGCTTAGAGCTAGAGTATTTGGTTTGAGGATCAGTTGAATATTTCATTTTGTCTGAAGCACTAATTATAGACTTTATTATATAAATATTGTTTCATATTAGTTCTATGGCTAAACTTCTAAATTTAGAATTATTCTATTTTTTCATGATGCAGTTTCAATAATAAACATTATGATCAAGTCTAGGTGCATGTTACAGTATTAAAATGCCTCCTTTTTAAGCACTCGGTAGAATCACTGTTACTGCTCTGCTATGGCTTAGCTAGTCTGCCTGTAAAAACGAAGATTTATTTTTATGTGGCTTGAACTAAAACGACTGATTTTTGATGTGTGCTCACCCTTAACTATTAACATTGTGTGCAATGGCAGTTTAAATGTTTTATTTTCAAATAAACAGGCAAATGGGCTGTTATTTCTATAAATACTAACAGGATCATGCCCAAGCACTGGGATTTTTCAGCCTGGAGCAAGAGGAAACCACACATTTTCTGTTTATTTTTGTGGGTTTTACTATTTTAAGTAACATCAAGCCCTGGACTGAAGATATTCTGACATTTCTGGTTACTTTGAAGGAAAACTTTCTTAGCAAGTTAGGTCAACTTATGCTAAGTCACTGAGTGATAAAAAAGTATTCTCTGTGACAACAATATATGCAATGTCCTCCCAGATGTCCATCACTAAGTCTCTTGCAATGGAGCTCAAAAGAAATGGGAAGATGGGAAAATGGTTGATGGAAGGCCTAGTCCTACTAACACGTATCCAGATCTACTCTCATTCATAGTGCCATTAAGTGTGATTCTTTAGGGATATTTGAGAACTGTCCCTGTCTCCTTAATTGAGAACAGATGTTGACAGTGATATCAGATGCTCTTTTATGTTCTCTCTTCCCCCGACCTCAGCTTTAACATGCTCATGAAGGACAAAATGCCAAGGTTCTTGTGCTGCCTTTGGAACAGTAAAGTCTGAGCATCAGCTGTACAGTTTAGACCTGTGCACTAGTAAATGTTGTTTTGGTTTTCCTTTGTAGCTGACTGCTTATGTTTTGAAGGGGCAGAAATGCTCAATTCTCTGGGATTTTTTGAGTAATAGCTCTGCATCTTTTGCTTGGTTTCACTTAGTAATAATCAGTTAATTATCTGCAGGTAAAAAAGTACTAGTTGAATAGACAAATAGTTTTGTACAGACAAATTCAGATACCATTCGATGATTGAAATTTTACAAGGGTGTCCACGACAAAGAGTATCACACTATCCATTGACACTGAAGGTTTTTTGTAGCCCCGAGTTGTTCAACTAAATCTCTGGTCAGTTTGAAACAGTTTGACCTCTGTGTCTCACTTCTTTGCAGTAATAAAACCTTCTAATAAATAGAGAGAAAAATGACTGAGATAGGTAAATACAGAAAAATCAGAGAAAGAGAAAGCTAATGAACTCAATTGCAATCACTATGCCAGTATTGCCTTAACTTAAAAGTATTGATTAAATAACTGAATATTTACATCTTGTACTGGAACTGCGGAAGGCAAATGATGCATTGCAAAGCAAACAGAAGCTGACCTTTGCACGTTTTCCCATCAGGCTGCAGGGTAAATCCAACTGGGCAACTGCATCGTACCCCTGTCGCAGTATCCTTGCAAGTCCGATCACAGCCTCCATTATTGACAGCACATGTTTCTGCAGAATGAAAGAGAAAGAGAGAGAGAGAGAGGGAGAAAGGGAGTGTAATGAAATGTTCTGGGGGAGGGGAGAGGCATCGACTCTTTGGGGCAATATTACAAGTTATGAAAGCAATCTAAGTTTAAGCAAGCCAACTGAAGCAAGCTTTCAAGGTCATCAGGGCCCATGTACTGGTTTTGATTGGTAAATCATTTCTACAAGTCATGATTTCTTTCTCCCCTCAAACTGGTGTTTTTATGCATTATATTTAGTTAGTGCTTTTGAACTGTCTTAGACAATAGGATTGGTTATTATATATGAAAAAAGTTTAAAAAGAAAAAAAAGTGATTGCCTTTAAAAGCAGAACCAAACATTCAGTCTGTTTCGTATCAGTCAATGTCTAGCTGAGGCTTTTTAAGGTTCATTTTTTTAAATGATGTAGGCATAATGAACTTTAAAAAGCAGTAGAAAGCAAAGCAGAGTGCTAGACTTGGAACTGAGAATTTTAAATCCTTAGTTAAGAAAGAGTTAATGGAAAATGAACTACATATATCACTTTGACAAGAATCTACATGCCCAATCTGTTCTTACTGAACTACAAGCAAAAGGCATCTGGGTTTTGTCCACTTAAAGCTTTTTGCAAATTGAAAGGAGTTTGGAGTGGGTGGGAGGGCATAATTGAGGTCACTGAACCCATTCCAAGCTGTGTCATTGAAATTTCCCAGTGCTTGTAGTATGTAGAAGGGTGGCTGGGCAAACACAGGCAAGAGAAAGCTGCAATATTTCTGAGCTTTTACAACAGTGGGCAGTGACTATTAGGTACTACTACATTAAAAAAAAATCTTCAACTTCATTACATAAAAAGCAAAAACCCCTCCCTCATTATTTTCTGTTACTCATGCGTGCACATGCGCACACTGTACACATACATATGCACACATACCCGCACACACATCCATAAAATAGATAAAAGGCAAGAGAAATGATTAACTTTGCTTTGATCCAGAGAATAGAGTGGATGTAAGGATGCCAATTTAGCACGTCAGTTTGAACTATGCATTTATCTGAAAAGTATTTACTTCAGAGAGCAAGTCCCTTTAATAGTATCTTTTTTCAGTTGCTCTGGCTTTGATTAAATTAAAATATCCCCCTGCCCCCCAAGACTGCCATTATTCTACACAGCTCACCTCATTCTGGCTTTCCCTAAAGAGGCTTTGTCATTACTTACTCAGATTTACAGACTCTTATTGCTGAATATTCACAGCCTGTGTCGCAATTGTACCCTGTGGACAGGGTCTGACAATAAGCTATAGGATATGCTAATTGGGAATTGCCTTAGAACAGTATATTGATCAAAAATTATTTACACAGAACAGAAAAGGCTTTATCTTTCAACTGACTAGAACGAAAAGATTTTTATTTTAAGATAGCCTCTGCTAATGCCCTGAAGGTGAACTTAGATTGGCCCTTTGGAGGGACTTCACTGCTTCAAATAAGAGAAAAGAAATGTAACAGTTTTTTTTTTTTTTTTTTTCCTTTTGCACTGGCACAGACCTCTACATCAGTTGTGGAATAAGTTGCTGGCACTTATTAACAAACTGAAAGAAAGGGGTTGGGGGGCACATGTGCATTAACAGCATGGGACAGAACTCTGCTGTCCATATACATTCACACGTTCTACTAGATAGATTTGAAATTTTTTATGCCATGTGTGCTATGTAATAACATCATGTTGAAAAAGCAATCAGTATACAAACAGATTTGCATATAACTGACAGCAAGCACAGCTAACAAATGGATTGACATGTTTTCTGGAAGAGCTTTCTGAAAATGGAGCTGAGTCTGCACCTTCTTATTTTCAAGTAGAGTTCTTTCTCACCTTTGGTACAACTTGCAGGACCCGAATCTAACTAATTAAGGAATATAGTTCTGATTTTCATTTACTCCCTTGGGAAGGACTACTTTATAGACTTAGAAGCTGACATCGCTGCTTGAAGAATTCTTCTGTAAATGACAATTCTGGCATTTCCATCTGTATGTGAATGCGTGTATGTGTGTCCTCATAGGCCAACATATCAAATGTTTTTATGTTTCAGAGAAGGGAAAAAGTTTCAGGTCATTTAAAACTTTTTTACTTGGGTACAGTTTAATGGTAGGATGATTTGCCATGAGTAAAGAGTTAAGGTTAAAAAATGGGAAAAAGTGCTGAAGATGTGCGTTTGGCATGGCACTGCAAAGAGCAGTAAATCTTACGTTAGCAGATTAACTTTGGCGTATGAAGAGTCCTTTATTGCAGTTCATCAACATAAGATGAACATAAGCAGTAATATTTCTGCTTTCTGGATGACATCCAGTGAAAATGAATAGACACAACAATTTTTTTTCCCATGGCATGGATGACTGGATCTATAGGGTAAGGGTCATTCAGTGAACAAGAGTTATTTCTATGTATAAATAGAGGGAATCAAGCCAGCTTTTCTTATTTTCACAGAGATTTAGTAAAACAAACCAAAAAGGATAAATACCCTTCAACTTTCCTGGTGACTCTGACTTTAATACATGATGAACTCTAACATAATGAAGATCCAAGTGAGCAAGAGAACATCTGACAGTACCTCTAACATTTTGGATAATCGGAGAGATGTATTGATGAAATTCCTTACGCTTAAGGTCGTGAGAAAACATTGGTAAAAGAAAGTGAATGTGAATAGCAGAATGTGGGAATGTGGTATTACAAGCTACATCAAATAGAATAGCTGAGGCCTATATACAACATAAACAAGTGCATCACCACCTGTGTTTCTGTTAGAAGTTACTTCAACTCATTCTTCACTTCACCACTATCAAACTTGAGTATATATTTGAAATGCAAATAGAAGTTTTAGGCCTCAAATAAAGAGTAGAAGCAAGTTACTTATTTCCAAGCTATCATGTTGTAGAAGCTATACCTATATGGAAGGGAAAGAATAGATGTTCAAAATTTGGATCAGATCTTCATGGTGATATTGATCCTATAGATCATTTTCCACTGTTTTTTTCTCTGTGAAAGGCAACCTCAGCATATTTATTACTCTTTTTTTTTCCTCAGACTTTTCGGCGCATTTCTGATGTTTTTTGTTCTGATGACGGAGCAGAAAAAGAACTGGAAGACACAAATAAAGCAGCATCATGTAACTGATATTGAGATTCCCTCTGAATTATAATAGAGCTCATAATTTTAAACTATCAGACTTTACTGTGAATTTAAAGGGATGTTTGCAGCCCCACTTACATACTTATTGAAATCCCACCAGAAAACTCAGACAGACACAGAGATCTAAAGAAAAGGGCATCTATTTACATAAGGCAGTCTGGGACATCTTACATTGCGTCTTTCCACTGTAAGCTCCTAATTCTGGAACAATCTCTCATGTATCTGCTCCCTGGATCTATAGACAAGAAGTAACCAAAATCATTACCAACATTTAGTTGGTAATTGAGTAATCACTTGTTTTAACAATAATCCATTGCACTACGGAGTATGCACTGCTTTTGGATATTAAAATATCCTATTAAAAAGTAGAAGATTGAGCTGTCAGTCCTTCAGCACTGAATCAGGAATGTTGACTAATTTACCACATGAAGTTACATTGGTATCCAGTCCTTTAATATGTAATTTCAGTGTCTGCAAGGGTCAGCAGTAAAAGATCAGTTCTCCAGATTCTAGTTCTGAAGTTTTAGAACTAAAGCAGAATCTATACCTGGTGGAAATAGAGCCTGGTCACGTTCTTACAGAGAAGACTGACACCAGACAGGGTTTATTTGGCTTTGAATACTTTTAAATGCCTGAAACTCTGAACACGTGTCATGGTTTGGAAACATTTCTGAAAACATAAATATCAGCTTCTTTTATAACCATTCAAAATGTAAGCTTCTATTCAAACTGGTTTTTGAAGCGGCCAATTATTTCATAAAGCCATTGAAAAATTGCCTCAATGACAGGGGTTTCCAAAATTTGCCTCCAATATTTGTGACTTAATTTTAGCATTATGATCAAAAGAACATGGTGTGATTTTAAGCGCATTACTCAAAATTAGGCAAATTTGTAATCTTTATTCTTCACTTTGGCAGCCTGGGTCAATTTGAACTAAGATCCAAAACCAGTGTTTTAGGAACTGAGATATGGTACAAAGCAGAACAAACATATAGGTCTATGGGACTAGAAGGGATCTGAAGATCATGCAGTAATATGTCTTAGTGAGGTCACTCTCTATAATCTTGGATAAGTCATGAGGAACCCTACATTCCTGACGACTGGACAACGTAAACGTCAAGAAAGGCAAGAGGAAGGATCTGGGGAACTACTGACCAGCCAGCCCCACATCAGACCCCTGTAAGTTTATGGAGCAAATCATCCTGGAAGCCATTTGCAAGCACATGAAAGACAAGAAGATGACTGGGAATGGAGAGAGAGGTGCTGATCTTCTCTCTCTGGTGACCAGTGATGGGACACAAGGAAATGGAATGAGACTGCATCAGGGGAAGTTCAGATTGGACATTAGGAAAAGGTACTTCACTGAGAGGGTGGTCAGTAAGGGTGGAACAGGCTCCCCAGGAAAGTGGTCATGGCACCAAGCCTGTCAGAGTTCAAGGAGCATCTGGAAAATGCTCTTAGTCACACAGATTAGCGCTAAGTAGTCCTGTGAGGAGCAGGGAGTGGGACTTAATGATCTTTATGGGTCCCTTGACTTGCGATATTCTGTGGTTCTATGACATTTCTAATAGGAAATGCTCATGTTTGGAAAGTTGCAGCATGGAAGTAGAGATCTAAATTTCTTCCCTAGCTTCCCATAAGCTGCTGTGTCACCCTTGGCAAATTACTTGCACTGGAGTTCACAAGAAATTTTGTGACATACTTGTCTCCTCATTTAAAATAGATGCAGTATTTCCTATGCTCATAAAACCTTCTGATATTCATGACCACACATGTTCTATAGATGTAAAATAGCATTGTTTTTATTGCTACCAATAGTACAGAA